CTCCTGAGTAGCTAGGATTAGAAGCTGGGTCAGCTGGTCAGTTTTTAGACAAGGGCAACACACTGTCCATCAGCAAATGGCTTTATAGATTTGCCCATGCAAGGCACTGGGGACAAAGTATACAGAAAAAACCTTGCCAAGGTCCTGTGGCCTACTTCAACCCCCAATTACTAAAGGTGACAAAATATACATCCCTCAGTACAGGCACCTTGCCAATGTCACACCCCCAAGGTGGCAGCTATGCAGGCTTAAGCCTATCCACAGCAGAAGACGCAGAGGGTGGGGCCAAGGATGCTGTCGGGTCACACATCACTTTTTCCTCCAAAGGAGAATTGTGCAGCCTCTCATTTGGTTTCACCATCAGAACAGATTCTGCTTTAACACAGAAACGCAATAGGATTTCTTTGAAAGGAACATTTGCTTTTTAAAGGACAGGATAATGATCTGAAACTAGACGCAGGTTAGTATTTTACAATTAGATGGCAAATGTGGCATTTCTGAGGACTCTCTAGTGATCACGTAATCATCCCAGGACACAATAATCAAGAAAAGAATGTACTTTGAATTCAAAAGAAGGGAAGCCAGTCTTACTTTGAGAAACAGGCTACAGAACACCATATGCCTGGCCCTTAGCTGTACTATTGCTCTGGAGTTGTAATCGCTGGTGATAACATAATTGCTAAGGGTTTTCTTCCCAAGATAGTTAAACTAAAAGTTTGTTTTCATATGCTGCCGTAGAGTGGGTGAGGTTAATCCAAACACACTATATACTTAATGTGGGAATGTCACAATAAAACCCTTTTGTTGTTGTTGTTGTTGTTGATTGTGGGACTTGAACTCTGGGTCTAGGCACTGTCCCTGAGTTCTTCTGCTCAAGGCTAGCACTCTACCACTTGAGCCATAGCACCACTTCTGGTTTTCTGGTGATTAACTGGAGATAAGAGTCTCAGTCTTTCTTGCCTGGGCTGGCTTTGAGCCATGATCCTCAGATATCAGCCTCCTGAGTAGCTAGGATTATAGGTGTGAGCCACTAGCACCTAGTTAAAACCCTGTATCTTTTTTTTTCTTTCTATTTTTGTCTGTCATGAGGCTTGAACTCTGGACCTGGGCGCTGTCCCTTAGCTCTTCAGTTCAAGGCTAGTGTTCTATTTGAGCCACTGCCCCACTTCTGGTTTTCTGGAGATAAGTATCTCATGGGCTTTCCTGCCTAGGCTGGCTTTGAACAGTGATCTTTAGATCTCAGCCTCCTGATTAGCTAGGATTACAGGTGTGAGCCATGGATACCCAGCTCTAAAACCTTTCTTATACAACTAATGTAGGCTAGTATAAAGAAAAAAATTATCCTGGAGATCAGACTCACCAAATTCTGGCTATGCATGCCATCAGTTCTTGTGACAGTTTTGTAATGAACACAATCTAAATATGCATCAGTAAGAGAGGAGTTTAATTAATACGATAAAAAATGTTACAATTTAATATAAGGTAGGCTTGAAGGTTCTGACTGAAAAATTTCAAGGTTACATTAAGTACAAAAATATGTAGAAAAGGAATGTTATGACGTGGTATATGGATAGACATTTCTGGGACAACACAGAAAAGAGTGAAGTGGCGACGGTGAGAATTTGAATGGAACTGACTTTCATTATATACGTTCTGTATTGTTTGAATTTTTATCATATGTGTGACTTTGAGATAATAATACACAATTTAAAATTTAGCTTAAAGCCAGGTGCAGGTAGCTCAAGCCTATAATCCTAGCTACTCTGGAGGCTGAGATCTGAGGATCATGGTTCAAAGTTAGCCCAGGCAGGAAAGTCCATGACAGTCTTGTGTCTGATTAACCACAAAAATGTTGGAAGTGGAGGTGTGGCTCAAGTGGTAGAGTACTAGTTTTAGCAAAAAAAGATTGGTGACGACCCAAGCTCTGAATTTCAGCTTAAAGGGAAGAGTTTAAGATGAAAGTTTACTTTGCTAATAATATAGTTTAGGGCACTGAAAAATTTAAAAATGAGTATGTTTTCCTATGGGATATACCCTTCTTCCTTCAGTAATGGATTTCCCAGAACAGAATCCATGATTCAGATGTGTTGTTGGAGGTCTAGGGCTGCATATTGTGATAGAAATCACAGCATAACCGCATAACTGGATCTATGAATTTAGGATCAAGTGTGCTAACATGCCTGTTTCATAAGCAGGGAATCTACTGAATTAGGTAGACAGTTTCAGATGTCTTTCACAGGACTTCCTATATGATTTCTCCTCACAGGTGATAGTTTGAGGAGTGCAAGCGCTTGGTAGAGGAAGGTCAAGCTTTCACTCACTCTGGCTGAAGTCTGATTTTCATGAACTTCCTGTCTCTTGTGTTGACAGTCATTCCCACCCCTTTCTACTCCTTCTGGGCCTGATCCTTCTCCAAGTCACTTACTGCTTGCTGTCTGATGCATTGGCTAGTTTGCCCCATAGAGAAAGTAAGAGGCGGGCAGTTTCAAACACTGATGAAGTTCAGCATCTAGAATTGTACCCAATACATACTTTGCATACAACAAATTTCTATCAAATGAATAATTTCCTTCCTTCCTTTCCTTCCTTCCTTCCGTTCTTCCTTCCTTCCTTCCTTCCTGCCTTCCTTCCTTCCTTCCATCCTTTCATCCTTACCCTCCCTCTTCTTCTTCCCCTCCTCTCACTCTTCTTTCTCCCCTCTCTCCCCTTCCCTTCCTCTCCCCATCCTTTTTCACTTCATTTTTTTTGTAGTAGTTAGGACTGAATCCAGGGCCCAGTGCTTATGAGGTTAAGCTATGCCCTCAGACCTCTTTCTGGCTTCAAAACCTTGTTCTGGTAGAGAGACACTCGAAAGAATGGATAATAGAAAAGGTTAGCTCACAGGAGTCAGTCTAGTGACAGAGTACATACCTTTTGTTGATTTTGGGGTACTTTTCCACTGAATAACCAATTTGTTAAGAAGAAATGACTGTGAAAATGCCCTCATTTTAATTCACGTTATTCAGAAACTAATGTGAGAAAATGTCCTAATTAGGCGTCATTGTTGTCTCCACAAACCTCTAGCAGTTACCTGTGTCCTACCTCCACAGATGGGCTCTGGGAGTCTTTGATGTATACCCTTGTGTACCAATTCCTGTCACTATGTGCACTGCTGTGCATCAGGCTGGCCTCCCATCCCCATATGCATTCTCCCTGTGCTCTTGGCTCCTCTTTACTGTTGCTTAACTTGGAAAGCCCTCTGTAACTCTTCCTCACCTCAGTTTCAGCTACACTGCAGAAATAAGCTCAAGTCTCACCCTCTCCAAAGGCCCTCACTTGGCATTTAAGTCTCTCTCTTCTGGAAACCTTAATAACAGCCTTCATTCTCTGAACAGACCAATGTCCTCTCTTATCCTATCCACTCATCTGTTCTTTACTCTTCCTAGTGAGTCTTTAGGAGTATGAGACTAGACATCATTTACTGGTAAGAAAGTAGTGAAGCAATTAAGTCCAGTTCTCATCAGTGCAAGTGGGCTAGTGGCTGGCAGAGGAGTGTGCTGTATATCAGTCTCTTAGATGAGCCAACCAGCACTAGAGCTAATGGTTCTGATACCAACCTTCTATGGAACAATCTACTTCACTGAGGTTTCCACAACTGGAGGGGAAAAGGAAGATGATAGGAGTCTGGAAAAATCTGCAAAAAATGAAAATCCTGTTGCTACATCCTTCCCAAATCAAGGCTAAGATACTTCCTGTTTTTAAGCAAGAGCTAGCAAAGATTTCCCATCCAACACACCACAGTCAGACTTACATGCTTCAGTCTTAGCCAGGATCTATCTTTTAGATAAAAAAATACTGTTGACAATGAATTTATAATAGAGCCCTCTACTCCAAAATTGCCTATTCACCAAAAATGCTTTTGTAGGAATGAGGAAAAGGGGCATGTGAGCATGGGTCTAGAGTAACATGCTAAGAAAGGCCATGGGAAGCCCAAGAGAGGACACACACATGAAGAAAGTCGAAAGGTAAGAGGTCTTAAATACTACCCGCCCAGGGCACAAATGCAGAAAATCAGAGCTCCAAACAGGACATATCCTGTTTTAGAGTACAGTATAAAATGTGAGATGGACAGTGACTTGATGAATCCTTCATGTTCTATTTAAAAAACACTTATGTAAACACCTGCCCTGTATGTATGTGCATGTATGCATGCAGATGTGACAGAGAGAGAAAGGCACCGAAGGCTAATGTGTGTGGAATGCCCTTTGAACTGATCTCTTATGCCTGGTACGGTGGCTCATGCCTATAAGCTCAGCTATTCAGGAAACTGAGATTAGGAGGCTGAGTTTGAGGCCAGCCTTAGGGGAAAAGTTAACAAGACCGATTTCAACCAATCGTTAGGCATGGTGGCATGTGTCTGTCATCCCAGTTATGCAAGTAGCTAAATAAGATGATCATAGTCCAGGACAGTATGGACAAAAACGTGTGACCTATTATAAAGCTAAGAGGGATGGGGAGTGTGGTTTAGTAGCAGAGTGCCAGCCTAACAAGCATGAGACCCTGAGTTGAAAGTCCAGCCAAAATAAGAACTAATCTTGAGAACAGAACTAATCTTGAGCACACGCATATTTGTGTATACATATATACCCATATATATATATATATACATATACATAGACAAGGGGAATGTATATATATATATATATATATATATATATATATATTTAGATGGCTTCCAATATGCTTTCAATAGTTTTCCAATATGCCTTCAACTGCAACCATGTCCCATCTTGTTACCACACCAAGGCACTTTATAATTACACAGTATAATATGGATAAGGCTTCTGTTACATATTCATGAGGGAACAAACTTTAACTGTTCCTTGGTGGGGTAAACTTCACGGAGAAATCAGGACCAAGAAACAGGCCTTGTTCAACCCTTCGAAACTCTGGCAATTAACCCAGGCTGGCCTGCAGCCCCAGGAAAACCAAAGCCTATCTGTCATGGGTCAATCTGTTACCTCCATCGCTGCAGGTCCTGGAGTCCGAGGCCAGGCTGTCTGTGGAGCCAGAGGTGAAGCTGACGTGGACACTCCTGAAGGATGGGCTGAGGCTTTCTGCAGAGCCCTGGCTCGCTTTTTCCAAATCAGAACTGCTCTTGTTCATTTTTAAAAGGTGCCTGGAAAAAGGTAAAAACACACAATGAAGGTGATTCAGCTGGTTTCCAGAGACCAGGCCAATGGGTCATGAATCTACTGTGTTCTTGAGCCCTGATCAGTGCCAGCAAGTTAAAAAAGAAAAAAGAAAAAAGATTTGGAAGGGAGAGAGAACAGGGGTTCTTCAGAAACCTTATGCACATGAATGGCAGGAGATTTCTTGAATTGGGTTAGAGCAAGAGAGTTTATAAAAATCAAACAAGTGCCAAATTCAAGACTTAGAGCTGCCTTCACATTCTAATCCAATTGCTGAAATAGTTATACCATCTATTATATCCCTTAAAACATCTCTAAAAATAAGAATTGAAACATCATATAAGCCAATATTCAGAGATCTATAAAGATTGAATTGTGTTTAAAAGATCGCAAACGAATTGTAAACTAGGATTAAAAATGTAGGGGTTCCTTTCCTGGTACTCTCTTGCCATGGCTTTGAAAAGTCTATGTTGTTTCTTGAAATTAAGGAAAAATTTATCTAAATTTTAACCAGATTTCTAGTGAAATGCCTGATAGAGCCAACTTAACCTTTTTTCTTGAACCATGGAATCTGCTGTTTGATTATCTGTGAAATATTTTCATGAATCTTGAAGACAGCATTATCATCTTATGAGAGATGGGAATACCAACTTCAAACAAAGAGAATTTGCCCTAGAGAAAACATCCCATTATTAGGTAGAGTGCTTAGCTTACTGCTTTCTCCTTCCCCTTTTCCAAAAATTACATGAATCTTCACAGCTGGCCTCTTGAAAGACAGACAGCCATCAGTCCAGCTCTTCCTCATCAGTGATAACACACATTTAGCTAAACTGATATTTCCTGATAACTCACTTGTTCAACTGCAGCAGACTACATCTCAATATCTGCTATAAGAAACATACAAACAGTATTGATCTGCATCAGAGCTTCTTTTCTTCATGCACATGACCTTACAGTCAAGAGTCCATTGATTGTTCTTTGTCAGGCCCTGCCTGGTTTGTTTTCATAATCACTGAATCCCTTGTTTTTAACAGAATTATCTAGAGAATGTTTGTTTGCTATCATGAGATCATCTTCAGAAAATATGCTACAACACTTGGAACTACATAGGTAGCCTGTTCACAACTACATAATTAAGGATCAGTACTCAGAATATAAAAAGAATGCCTGTGACCACAAGAAACCAATGAATTGCAAAGAGCAATGGAGTCTAGTGCTGGTGGCTCATGCCTATAATCCTACCTATTTAGGAGGTTGAAATCTGGAAGATGGTGATTTAAAGATAGCCAGGGCAGAAAAGTCCACAAGAAAAGTCCAGCAAAAGGGCTGAGAAGGTAGCTCAGTGGTAGAGCGCTTACCTTGCATGCTCGAGGCCCTGGGTTTGATTCCTCAGCACCACATAAGCAAAAAGAAAAAAGCCGAAATGGTGCTGTGGCTCAAGTGGTAGAGCACTAGCCTTGAGCTGAAGAGCTGAGGGACAGCGCCCAGGCCCAGAGTTCAGGCCCCACGACCAGATCCAAAAAAAAAAAAGAAAAGTCCAGCAAAAATAACCAGCAAAAAGCAAGGTTGAAGGTGGATCCAATAGTTGTGTGGTAGCCAAGCAAGTTATGTAAACAAGCTGAGTGAGTTTGAGGCAATGAGTTCAAACCTCATTAATACCATAACAAATCAAAAAACAAAAGTGAAGACAACCACAACAAAAAGGACAATGAACATGAACAAGACACATGCATGCAGAAAAGGCACACATAGAAAGATGATAAACATTACTAGTAACCAGATTATACCTAAAACAAGATCACACTGGCAGTATCAGCTATTGCTAACGATATGGGAAAACGAATTTTCTTACATCATTTGTGAAACCACAGATTGAAGTACACACACACACACACACACACACACACACACACACACACACACACACACGCTGAAAATGTAATGAATCCTGGAAGATGAATGTACAGTTCTTATAACCCAGTTACTCTATTTTTGGTTATCCTTAAGCAACGTCATTTAAATAACTAACAGTGAATGAATGACTTAATTGCTTTTAGAGGGTCACAACAGTTACTGACAAGCAGTTTAGTTCAACAAGATAAAAAGAAATATATATCATTAGTAAAAACTTGTAGATATGCAGATGTGTATTTGCTCAAGATAGTAAATGTATTTTCTACTGTTTAAGAAAATATTTAAGGAGCATTACTCTACAATAGAGATCTTTTCTTTAGAAAGACAAATGGTAAATACTTGAGCCTCACAGAATATACAGACTGTTGCAACTACTCATTTCTGCTGGTGTATCAGGAAAGCAGCCACAGATATTAGATGAATGGTCATGTTTGTCTATAAAACTTTATTTTAAAAAAGATAACTGGCTTGTAGGGAACAGTTTGCTGACTTCTGCTATGGGAGATGGTCTTGAATAAAAATACAATGTAAGCTATACATACAACTTAAAGTTGTCTAGTAATTATACTTAGAAATGTAGAAGGACACAGGTGACCTTAATTTTAATAATGTATTTTAACATAATACATCAAAAAGTGATTTCAACGTATAATCAGCATAAAATTTTAATGAGATTTTTTATAGCCTTTTCTTTGCTCCTACTCCTTAAATTTGGTAGGCTTTACATTTAAACCACATATATTACAATTTGGGCTAACTTGACTTTAAGCTAGTATCTACTGTGCTATGTGGGGCAAATCTAGAAAAACTCTCAGATATGGACATAGACATTCACATTTACTGTGTTATAAGCAGCAAAACCTATCCACCAATAATGGAACAGATAACTTGTAGCACAGTATTACAGTGAAAAAGAATGTAGCAGTTAACAACATGTAAACCAAAGTAAGTGCGCGCGCGCGCGCGCACACACACACACACACACACACACACACGAAACAAGCATCAAGGATGAAAAGTTTACAAAAGGCTCAAGGACAAGAGGAGAACCAATGCAACAGTGAAATTCACAAGACAATATGTTAGAAATAATCTGTACAACTTGGGAGGGGTTGGGGGGAAGGGAAAGTGGGAGAAAAATGAGGAAGGGGGCCAGATGTCAGTGGCTCATGCCTGTAATCCTAGCTACTCCAGAGGCTGAGATCTGAGGATCAAGGTTCAAAGCCAGCCTGAGGAGGAAAGTCTGTGAGACTTGTCTCCAACAAAACCACCAGAAAACTGGAAGTGTCACTCAGTGGTAGAGCACTTGCCTTGAGTTGAAGAGCTATGGGACAGTGCCCAGCACCCAGGCCCAGAGTTCAAGCTCCACAACTGACCAAAAAAAAAAAAATTAGGAAGAGGTAACAAGTTTGACAAGATATTTATTCATTACTTTTTATTTATGTAACTGTAACCCCTCTGTATATCATCTTGACAATAAATTAAATAAAATTTTATAAAAGGCTCAAGCATAGTGTGACACACATTATTTAAGCACATAATAAATGAACTTTGGTAGGTTAAATAAAATGTAATGATGATCTCTGAGACAGCAATTACTCGGGTAGCAATGGAAAGTTGAGATGAGAATGGACTAGAGACTCCTACTATATTATGAGTATTTTACTTTTTTTGAAAAATCAAAGGCTGGGGTGCAGACACAGGTTTGGAAAGCAGGTTAGAAAAGAGAGTGACTAATAAAGATGCATTTGATACATATAAAAACACGTAAAATAATCTCCCTTGTACAACTATTTGATGCAATATATAAACAGATAAATAAATACACTAATGATTTTTAAAAGTCTAGAGGCTAGAAGTGGCAGGGTGTTGTTTAGCATGCTCAAGCCCTATCAATCCCCAGTACCACAAAAACATAAAACATAGTAACTGAGAGAGGGGGGGAAGAATAAAGAGAAAAAACTTAAAAGAGGTAAAATATTAATGTTTGAAAAATCTTGCGAAGACACGGAAAGGTCATTGAAATTAAATTATTGAACATCTCTGTATGCTTAGAATACTTGATAAATTAAACATTTTTGGTAGGAAAAAAATTAAAGTCTGAATGACCCTATCCCCTAACCCCAGGATGGCCACACCCCAAGCATCTGAGCCAGAAGGGACACAGAAAGACCCATAGGGACTTCCATGAGGCCCCAGGAGGGAACAGGCAGACACAGGAGAGCTAGTTTCCCCTTCTAATAGCCTTGTGAGCTTGCTAGTGATGAGGCTTGGGGTTAAACCTTTTCAGTGTTGGTCTTACAAAGGAGAGGTCAGAGTTCTACAGAGTTTTACCAATTGGACACAGGAGAAAAAAAATTAGTCTATGTTTGTGATACAGACTCAGTTCTATGAGCTATGCGCGAGTTTGGGGAAGTCAGAAAGCACCCATTGGAAGACTGAGAAATAAAACTGCTGTTTTCTTCCTGGAAAACCTCACCAAGTTCCGGATCTCCCCAGGTGGGTAACAAAAGCAGGTACAGGGAATGCTCAAATGCAAATGTGGAGGGAAGGCACTAACACACACTGGGGTGCTCTTTTCCTTGACATTAACATATTAGGAAGAGTTGAATGCTTGCCTAGGTAGCATGTGAAGCACCCTGGTTTTTACCCCAACACTGTGAAACAAGACAACAAAACAAACCCAAGAAATAAAACCTCAAATTTCACAGGAACTCTATTGAAAAGCTTCTACCCTGGAAACCTGTGATAACTGTACTTTTCAAGGATTGCCACTTTAATTAGTCAATGAGTAAAACCACATCAAGTTTAAAATAAAAGGCTGGCTTGCCATCGAAGCAGACACCTATCATCAAGATGGCTTTGATTCATAACTCTGCGTGTGCAATAGATTTCTTATGAATCCCTGAAAAAGGCCTAATATATCAAATATGACTTTTTCTGAGCCCTAATAGAGTGGTCTCGGATGGAAAGCCAGGTATTATGAAGACTAAACTCAACAAGATATAGCAAGTCTATACTGCGTGTGTGTGTGTGTGTGTGTGTGTGTGTGTGTGTGTGTGTGCAGGTACAG